AAGTGCCAGGGGCACATCAGCATTGTGGTGCCCTCGGGGGGGCAGGGAGGCACCTCTGAGTGCTGCCTCTAACATGCAAAAACCGGGGGCGCAAAAATGGACCACCATGCTGCAAGGCGCAAAAATGACCGCCGCCACACCGTGGATGCAGATACAAGGCGTTGCACCACGCAAGAACGGGGCAGGGCTAGTGAGTATCACGCAGGCACTAGCCCCACCCCATTTGCAGTGCATGTGTGCTCGTGGCCCCATGTGAGCATGCACGCATGTAAAATGCTTCCCCTCCTTTTTCTTCCAGTCCACTAATCGACAATGGTTAGTGACCTCTGCTCTACCACCTCTACTCGAGCTTGCTAGTCGGCCGCTTCACCTCCTTTCTGCTGGGTGGGTCTCCTGCTCCAGGCGGCGGTGGCAGCCTGATGGACCTGCTGCTGGCGGTGGTGCGCGTGCCAACAGAGAGGGCTCTGAGTGCCGCCTCTGGCATGCGTGCCATAGGTTCGCCACCACTGCCTTAAAGTGACTTATTTGACTTTTCCTTAGCACGTTATGTAAGCATGCTAAGTTTATAAACCATGGTTTACAATGTAGTTTAATAAATGAACTCTTTGTGGTTGCATCAATAAAAGAGTCGCCTTGTCGATAACGTAAATTTAATAAATAAATAAAACATGATTATCAGAGGACGTAAATGCAACCATTAACTTCAAGGAAGCTCACTAGCAACAGGAATAAGATTTGTTTCTAAGCTCTAACAAAGGACTCTAGGCAGTGTTCACAGTCTTTATTGCCAGCATAAACTCTGGGAAGCCTGAGGCTTTTAATCCTCATAATTAAGCTTGTTCAGAAACTTTTATTATAAAAGGTTAAGAACTTAAGCTGCCAGCCTTTCACACGCTGTTGGTGATTTTGTTTTGCCTTGTCCCCACCTTGAAATCCTGATCAATTTGCAAAAGTTTATGGAGGAAACTGCTTTGCACATGGAAGAACTCTAAAAGAATCGTAGTATTTTTTTCCAAAAGCTGCAGAAGGAGAAAACATCAGACTAGATGGGGTTGGATTTTGCCTATCAATACATAATAGCATTTTCTTAGATATTTACCAAAAGGTTCAGAAAAGTCCATGGACGACAAGAATCACATTACAATATTGGCAGAGGTAAAGAGGGCCAACTTCAATGAGGCAATGAGGTCCAAAGTTAATGGAGATTTTCAGGATAATTTTTAAAAACAGACTGCATTTTGCAAATATTTGTTTTGGGGGTGATTTTAATGATCCTTATGTCACTGTAATCGTATTATCAACATTAGTGAATTATTCTCCCCACAACCAAGTAAATATTTTCTCTTTAATACCCTTGCATTAGTATTTGCAACTGTAATTGTCACATCGGTAGCAATAATAAGCTGTCCAAAGGTATAAAATGTATCTCTACCACCTCTTCTCCATTAATGGAATGATATTTCATGACTATGCTGATGTAGCTATTCTCAAAGCAGTTGGGAAAATGTATGTGGTTACTTATCTTTTTAAATAGTCCTATCAGCAAAACTTGGAAGGGTAAACCTGTCCCAAATGAAAGCGTAGGCAAAGTGACAACTTTAAGATATTTTTTGCTCCCTTTCCTCAACTGGCAGGTTCCCACCCACCTAATAAAGGGATGTCAACTCAAATTATTAAGTGATCTTTAATCTCTGTTTTCCTTCCCTCACCCCACCCACCTTATGTCAGCTGCAGAATCTTTTATCAAACTGGTAAGTACCCCATTTGTCCTAATTATAGCTAGCTATACATCCAAGGCACTATTGAGCTGGACAGCTTGTGTGTGCACACATGAGGATCAATTCACTAAGTGATGCAGTCAGGAAAGTTATCCCACTCACAATTTGGGCATCACAGGGTCTTAACTAATTGGCCCTCTTTTAGCTTTAGATTCAGCCCTGATGACTTTAGAGGGTTCCTATATTGTTTTGAACTGGGGAGAGGCTCTTTCATCTTAAAATGTATTTTAAAATAGAGTCAATATATTATAAAATACTATTATATTTTTTGTGCTGTTTGTTTAAAGTAATTTTGAGGTTTAAATTGAGGTTTAAATTAAATTCAGTCGTTATGAAAATAGAAGTGTATTGACAGAATGGTTATTTACTGTTATATATGTTTAAGCCAAAGACTCAGTATGCATTTATTATTTTTTCTTAGCTTCTACCACATTTATCCTTCTGATGGTACAAAGAGGCTGATGAGAGTGTTAAGCTATAAAGTCAGTACATAGGAAGGCAATGGAACTGAGCCAGCTGCCTTAACTCCATTCTTATGTTACCTCTTATGTTTAGGACTCTGTGCTGAATATGCAAAAAGCAAGCAGTGAAAGATAGATATACAGATATCTATAGTTATACAGATATGCACACATAGAAATCTCACTGGATTGTATAGAGACTTTGAAAAATTCTAATACTTTGCAAAAATGTCTGTGTGCCTGTGATGTGTGTATTAGCTTTATATAGTTATTTTTTAAAAAATAAAGTAAGTTCTAATTTCCTGGACAGCCACCCACCTGCATATATCCTGTCCTTTAAATTTCTTATAATCATACTATTAGATCAAATTTCAAGTGAACATTTAAAAAGAAAAAAAGAATACATATCAAATTAACTGACAAAAAAGATAAGAACAAAATAAGGAACATGTTACTATGCTACTCATTTTTTCTATAACCATAGAAGACTAGCAAAATGTATCCCTGTCATAAAGAAATTAAATTAGAGAAATTATTAAATGCAATGAAATAAATGAACTGATTAGCATTTCTGAAAATCCTAGACTTGGTTGAATGTATAATCACCTCTACTCTGAAATCACATCCTTTGGTCCATTCTCTTTCAGCAGTATGGACATCTATTTGGAGACAATATTTTCCTAGCCATATTTGAACTACTACTGGTATGTCCATTAAAGTATGTCAGATTTCATCTCCTTAAACTTGGAGACACACAAAAAAATTAAAGGTCAGTTCACCAAATTAATATTCTATCAAATGCATCATCCGAAATGTGTACACACAGAAAGCTCAAATAATTGTAATTATCTCTGAAACTGTTTTTGTTTTTGTTTTTGTTTTTTTACAACCCCCCCCCCCTTATTTCTCCTTCACATTGGTTTCTTTTTTCACTTTGAATAAAAGACAATTACCAAAGGGTGTGGTTTTATATTCTGGTAGATTTGTCTTACAACTTTTTTTTTCAGAATTACAGTAACACTGGATTTCAAAATATCTATAGGATAATGTAAACGTATCATTGACACAAAAGATTTGTAAATACTGATTCAGTCTTTAAATGATGTTGAATGACTGGCAGAGGTTGATGTGCTTTTGCTCAGGCTCCCTCCCCTATGGCTGATGTAGCCTAAGTTTAGCATTCTAAGTTTAGCAATCTAAATTTCTTATTTTTGCTACAGGGCTATTTTTGGTGTGTGAGAAATTCCACTTTCTGATGAACTGAAGGGGAGAAAGATTTTATCTGAGATGAGCTAAATGTATATTGTAGTATTGTACTGTGAATGACAATTTTACAAACAGTTGGCGGCACCAGGAACAAAATCAGATTATAACTGTGGACAGGAGAAATCAAATATGGTTTTAAAAGAAACTTTTTTACTTAAAACAAAAAGGACATGGAGCCAGATCAATTAGCCATTTAATTTGCTATATATAAGAAAAGAGAGTTTAATGTAATTAAACAAAAAGGTTGACCTTTTCAAGTTTATTTATTCAGCTGTACGCATCATGTTCAAAACTGAACAATCTGATCACATGGCACTCTTAACTATGTCCTCAATCAGCCTGTGGTGACCCAGGAGAGGAATTTCTCCGGTCCTAGGGCAGCTCTGTCCCCTGGGATGGATTTGCTGCCGGAGCTCCATAAAAAGTAAAGGATTATGCCTACTGAAAAAGCAATATTTCTTTCTTGCAACCATTCATTCTACCCTCCCTTTTTTAGACAAAATGGAAGGTAGTCTTCAAAAAATAGATCACAATATTCCATAACAACACCTGCTTCTGCATATATATTGCGCAAGGCAGTTTTATTGCATGTGGTGAAAAAAAGTTAGGCTCTTCCTCAAAATGATCTTTCCTATATAATGGAAACGCCTGTCCAATAAGAAGACTTAGGAGAAATATTACTCTACTAGTACAGCTATCATGACATTTTCAGTCAAGGGCTACTTACGGCTGCCTTGATACTAGAAAACCATTTCACTAAGATAGATACGTAGAGGCAGCCACAATTTTCTGCATTTTAAAAACACAATTGCTACTGATACTCTATCATTGGAAAGCAGTATAAGGTAGGCAGTGGAGAAGCAGGGACAAACAGCATGATTTTCGGACCTATCCCAAGTCACTCTGATTTCTAACTTTTGTGTAACAGTCTGATTTGACATTTTAAGGATGCAGAACAAGAACTGAAATACATTCTTTCATATCCTCAACGTATGATACATACCTAGAGAGCCGTCATTAAAGTATTTCCTAAAAATAAGAAACTAAAGGTCACATCCCCCCCAGTGAATTTTTACAAGCTGCAGAATTGATGCTTCTAAGCCTGCAGAAGTTCCTAAGACTAACCCATAGGCAATGTACTTATTTAAGTTTTCATCAATTCATACCTACTCAGAGAAAGTTCTATGGCATTTCATTCAGTTTATTCATAGTTAAACTGGTATAGGATTAATGTACTAGTGAAGATTACTTACTGATTTTAAAAGAGTGCATATTAAATAGTTGTACATAACCCACTGTCAGAAAAGTAAGACGCACACATAGTCTTAACAATGGTTTCAAACAATATATTATTCTCATATTAACATAATTCAACCTTAAACCATTCCAAATCTGATTTTTTCCGTTTTTAGCCTCACACCAAATTCATGCTTTGTCAGCTAACTATTCCTTCATCTCTCCCCATCTCCTAAATTAAAAGGATTTCTTCACTCACCTCACTCATGATGATGAGCTTGAAATGAGAGTTCGCCGATTCTCACTTCCTCAAGGCAGAGCTGCTGGGCTACGAGCTCTCTGCACTGTTTCTAGCTTTTCTCTTTAAAAGGGTTGCTCGGAAGCATCATGCTTCCAATAAACCAATAAGGAGCTTTTACCTGCTGAAGCCCCTGGTGTGTATCAGAGAGTTCAAAGGGCCACCTTGTGGTAGGAATAAGAAATGCATTCTTCAAATGACTGGGAAAAGAAAGAAGCTGGCATTGAACGCAGATGTCAGAGCTGGGAAAAGAGAACTGCGAAGGTGGAAGATGAAGTCTCTTATTATTCACTGATAGAAATCATAAGCATGAGAATCATAAAAGCAAAACGTTACCCAGTTGATTGGAACTCATGCCAAAATACATCCCGAGATTTACACGTTTCCCCTAAGAGAAATTCCTGGGCCTTGAACATCTGCAAACTGCAGCTGGTGATACTTCACTTCATATAAAGAAAACATGAACATGAACATTTTGAATAGAAATCCTGAATTGGAAAGTGAGAGGCTGGGATTTATCTGTCTGCTAAAATAAACATCCAAAGGCAGAGCCAGAGCCGGGGGGGGGGGGGGGGGATCAACTGCACTGTTTCCAAGCACAACACACATGCACACAAACACACACAGAGATCAAATCTGTTACCAGAAAAAGAGTTAGAATTAGCATTTCACATGCTTGAGCAATTGTCAAGTCTCCAGCAGCTGGGTTATCTGGATTCCAGTTAAGCTTTCTGGATTCCTGCTACCAGTTCTCTGATTGGCTGGAATAAATCATGGGGGAAAATTGAGGGAGCACCAGATTAGGAAAACAATCCCAAACAGATTTTGGAAAAATTGAATATCTGTCACCAAAATATTGATTTCTTCTATACTTTTCAAATTGAGAACTGAAGTACATGTAACAGGTCTAAATAATTATATTTTGAAATAGTGTTTCAATGTAGTTCTCCACTATATCTTGCAACATCTTGAATCCCCAGGGGCTTGTGCCTGGATCGTATTTGTAGACATCAGCCCAATATTTCTCATCCTGGTTGCTGATTGAAGCTTCTGAGAGTTGTTGGACCATAAGGTCCCAACCTGTATATATTTAGCTACCAAGCCAACTGAAATTTGGCATATGTGATAAATTTATGGATCATGGAAACATCTCTTTTTTTCCTCAGTTGACATGATTTTCTACAATTCTCCCTCTTTATGCATTCCACTACCATGCTTGGCTATGGAAGAGTCTCCCACCGCTAGTAAGGAAACTTGTAGGAGATGGAGGAGTTGAAATTCTTCCCACCTTTTTTAGGTATCTAGCTATATTTCAATTCCCTAAACCTTAGGCAATAGTAAAGCTTGTGCATAACATTAAGCTATAATGTTGCTTGTTTGATTTTTGTTTAGCATATTGAATAAATTGTGGTTTATCCAATAAACCACAATTAAGTGAAGCAACACTTAGAGCAATGTACAGATCCAGCTATATAGTTTTGTCTTGGCTAATAGTAATGGTAAACTCAATGTTTACCGAATGTATTCCTCCATTGCCTCTATATCCTCCATCTTCATTACTTTGTGCTCTATTCCATATCTTACTCAATATTTCATAGCCAATATAAGTGTTTTTCTTTCTCCAGAGCTTATCTTTTCAATAGCAAAACCTTATAAGGAGAAACACCCCTCAGCTGAGAATGCAATTCTGAGCTTCAGTTTCATAAACATGACTGGATGTGGCTACCATTGGCATGGGTCAAATGAAAATGTTTAAAAAAATAGTTTGTTTTTTCCCTGGTACTCTTTAAATTAAATACATTTATAAATCTTAGCACAACATATTAAATGTGTGCAGATTTAGAGCAGCAGCACTGCAATTAAGAATTAAAATAGTTGCTGGTGAAAAAATGACAAGGCATTTCTCTCTAGGGCAGACTTTTTTGCTTACCTCCCTATTTGCATTTTTACTTGACCTGTTTACTTTTGATCTGATGTTGCCTTGCTCAACATTACTTGTGCCTTTCAACTATACAAGTATCCATGACATCCTACCTAAACTGTGAAATGGGTTTAGGGAAATATCAGGAGAAACTAACCATGGTCAATTTATTACAAAGGAATAGTATTGTGCCATGATGAGTACACTACATAGATCCATGTTGGTTTAATGTAGGTTGGTAGATGGGCATTTTTTGACTAATCAATCTAAGGCTGAGCAAGAGTGGCTGGCCTAAAGTCACCTCAGGTGTCTCTTAATATTTTAAAAATGAAGCAAATATTTCCATTGATACTGTGTTCTGAACTTGATAGTGCTACAAAACTCAGCCAGAAGCAAGGAAGAATTCAATATATCTGCATTTCAATTATTAACTAATCCTTTACTGGAAGAGATAGAGGCAATGCATTTTTTCTTGGAATTTTAATTTTTAATTCATAGATTCTGTTCCATATCTTGCATTACTCCTAGATAGCCAGTTAGCGTAGCTACCAGAAGGAGCTTAGGAAACTTTTGAAAGCAGCCCCTAACTGTTTTGCAGGGCATTCTTAACCTGTTACTAGTTTGCAGGTTAATCATCTGGGCCTGCCAGGGCGTGAATAAAGTGCCAGCCTTTCTTATAGTCCCTGTTTTAAAAGTGTATTCAGGTCAGTTAATTCCCAAACAGGAACAAAAATATGATTTGTGGGCTTGGCATTCTGTTGGCACACACAAAAAAAATCTCATATAGCTAGAAGGCATTCATCTCCAGAATTCTGATACTTTAAGCTAAAATCGTGCATGCATTTATTGGAGCAGAAGGGGGTTGCCTTTTAATGCCAAGAGGATATATTATGATCATGAATGATTTTGTCATGAACCAGAAGCAGGCTGTGACAAAGAAGTGGATGTGCAAAACCTAAATTGGTGAGAAAACATTACTGGGAGAAATGTACAACTAACTGCATGTATTTCTAAAGGCTAGACTTTTACATCAGTACAGCCTGATTAACTCTCCAGAGTCACAACATTAAATTAAGAATTAATAAAATATTAATTCCAACTTTACTATAAATATAAATTATACATGCTCTGAGGGAAATCTAGGTAAAGGTAATGTCTTCTTTGAGTCAAGCTCAGTTCCTGGTGACTCCATTAGACAGGCCTTATGCTTGATACTGCTTCATCTGGGTGGTCTTCTGGCCACAATATTCTGGCCTAGGGTGTATTCTGCAGGAATATTCCAAAAAGATAAGATTGTGGCTGTACCAACATAATCAAAGTCTGCCCTTTTTACCACATTTGTGCCATTTGTATGCTATGTATAAAAAAAGGCTGGAGTTTCAATTGCCTGGTCATGATCACCATCTTTTGACTCCCTTGAGGGCACCCCTCGCATGGCCTTCTGTTATGTCTCAATCCAGCCTACAGCCTATTTCATGGTGTCTTCTATACAAATACTGAACATCTTCCAGACATTCGAGGGATAAACAAGCATGTAAATTATATAGTGCTGGATCTGGAAAATGTTGGACTAAATTGTTCATGACATGAAAAGCAAGCAAATTGATATTCTGTTTGTTCAGAGGCGGTGTCCTTGACTATTTGAGTAACCTTGTTTATATACTATATAAAAATAATAGTTGGTTTGATTTTGCTATAATTTATTGTATGAAACCAGTTACTGAGCTTTGTAAAACCATGGTTTGTAGAATAGCACATTGTTTGGACTCAGTCAACTGTGTTGCATTCAATCTACCATGGATAATAAACATGGCTTTAGGCTAGTCTGTGAATAATTGAGGTTTATTTAATAAATGTGGTTAAAGAAATTATACTTACTATAGTGGGTCAACCTAATCAATATGTACTAAGTTCTATTTGGATACGGAATTTAATTCACCAAGAACACTAATGTTCTCTTTCTGCACCACCTGTTATAACTTGGCAGTGACCTACTAAATGCAGATGTAGTTGTATTTGAAGAAAACTTATACAGGTGTAGCGGGGACTGCCTGAGAGTGCTTGCAGGAGCTTGACTGGGAAGGAAAAGATTGGGACAGCTGCAGTTGGCTTTGGGTGTGGCTGGCGTGAGTGGAAGGAGGAAGGATAGAAAAGGAAAGGAAAGGAGAAGGCCGGGGTGGTTGGAGTTGAGAAGAGAAGGTCTGGAAGCTTATTTTATTTTTCTATCAAGGG